ATGTCTTAATACTTGTTTTTATTTACTTTCACCTTGTAAATTCTTTTGCTTTTACTAATTTGAGAACCTTTTACAGAATCATCCACTGGAGGAACATAAACCATCATCATAAATTCATCATCAACCCTTGGACCCCACTACAAGGACATCAGGACGCGTTTCAATCGAGGTAAGTTTAAAAATTATTGGTTTTTTAAGTATCTATTTTCTTTGCCTTTTTTAATGTTTACTTGATCTCTATTTAAATGCCTTTTTTAATTACTTTTCTTTCTTTATTTTTACTGTAACTTGTTTTAGATGCTTTCCTTTCTTTTTCATGTCTTAATACTTGTTTTTATTTACTTTCACCTTGTAAATTCTTTTGCTTTTACTAATTTGAGAACCTTTTACAGAATCATCCACTGGAGGAACATAAACCATCATCATAAATTCATCATCAACCCTTGGACCCCACTACAAGGACATCAGGACGCGTTTCAATCGAGGTAAGTTTAAAAATTATTGGTTTTTTAAGTATCTATTTTCTTTGCCTTTTTTAATGTTTACTTGATCTCTATTTAAATGCCTTTTTTAATTACTTTTCTTTCTTTATTTTTACTGTAACTTGTTTTAGATGCTTTCCTTTCTTTTTCATGTCTTAATACTTGTTTTTATTTACTTTCACCTTGTAAATTCTTTTGCTTTTACTAATTTGAGAACCTTTTACAGAATCATCCACTGGAGGAACATAAACCATCATCATAAATTCATCATCAACCCTTGGACCCCACTACAAGGACATCAGGACGCGTTTCAATCGAGGTAAGTTTAAAAATTATTGGTTTTTTAAGTATCTATTTTCTTTGCCTTTTTTAATGTTTACTTGATCTCTATTTAAATGCCTTTTTTAATTACTTTTCTTTCTTTATTTTTACTGTAACTTGTTTTAGATGCTTTCTTTTTTTTTTTATGTATCTTAATACTTGTTTTTATTTACTTTCACCTTGTAAATTCTTTTCTTTTTACTAATTTGAGAACCTTTTACAGAATCATCCTCTGGAGGAACTTAACCATCATCATAAGTTCATCACCAACCCTCGGACCACTTCAAGGACATCAGGACGCGTTTCAATCGAGGTAAGCTTTTAATAGCACGTTTTTTTAGTATTTACTTTTCTTTGCTTTTTCTAATTTCTAATTGATTTTTATGTAGGTTAATATTCTCTTTTCTCTTGCAGGGACATCTCTCATCGTGGGAGATCGTCGTCGCAGATCATCGTCGCGGACAACGGGGGACCATTTCTAACGGGTGCGAATAGCTCCCAACGGTGAGGGTCATCTTCCAATGGCTGGAACCATCTTCCAATGGTAAGAAGTCCCTTTCAACAGCCAAGATCGTCCCTCGCAGGTAAGACTTGTCCCTTTGCGGACAGGAACACCTTCAAGTGGTTTGAGGGTGATCCCGTCTGCGGGAGGGTGGTACTTGAAGGTG